GCTCCATGTTCCCAAACTCAGCACACGCTCAGCCCAAACACTGAACTGTTGGTTGACTGACCTGTCAGGTTGCTCTTATCATACTCTTATCATGCACATGAATATGAAAATGCTACTTAAAACCCCCCAAAATATTTACACTATGGAGCAAGAGTAGCTCTGCGCCACCCCATAGCTTTTAATCATTTTAACACACAATATTTTTCCTTTTAATATCAGAGGGACAATTTTTTGAATGCACATACTGCAAACAGTATTGTTCAGTGTCACAGCACATGCATAAAAGTATTTAAAATGCAAATAACATTTTCAGTCAGTTAAACTGCACTCTGAGCTGCACTACTTAAAGCACAGTTTACACACCAAGGGTGGTTTTACTCCTCCAAACTATAAGAAATCTCTTACAGACCAGTCTGTACTCCTTGTGGGTCTGTAGCCCATCATTGTTTCTGTACTTCCACATGCTGCTTTGGCTGCAGGCTCAAGCCAAATTTACCCCCTCATCTGACTCTGCGACTGTCTGTGTTAGTGATTTAAATGGGACAAAGGCACAATTTGAGCACTGGCACATGACTATCCATACTTCCAACTGCTGGCATGGTTTCAGGAATGGCTGGGTCCCTGACTAGTATTCTTCCAGGCAATGTCTTCATACAAGCTGGAGCCTAGCATAGCTCATTAATAGTATGCAATCTGTACAAATCCAGAAGGCAGCGTGGAAAAAGCCACTGTTTTGAAGAGGAAAGAATTCAGCTGCACCATGCTACATCATGCCACTTTCCTGACACCTACAGAGTGAGTCCTAATTGGTTTTATTTTCTGGTACAGATGTAGCCCGTATATTTCCACCTACCTGTAATTCCTATCTATCCTTAGGGCTTACAGAACTCTGTCCTTTAACAGCTACCCACAAAGCCATGTGACACTGTATCCAAGACAAATGTGCTGAAAGTAATGTAACCAGCCCACTATGCCTGGACCATTCCACTCAAGGTAGATCCACTCTTAAGTCAAGTACACAACTGAGTTTAACCCTCCACTGCTCCGAAAAGTTCGGATGAAAGGATAAGTTGAGCATAGTCTAGTACTCATAGACTAGTGACAGAAGGTTTAGGATTTCAGTGCAAGTATAGCTCTTTTGTCTGTCAAAAGGCAGGATTCTTTCCAAACATTCAGTAGGGCTGCTTTGCTGTTTCTGGATGTGACACAAAAATCCCTGTGCAAAAATATTTTAACACAGGAGAAACTGTTACGTAAAAAATCTGAATTTTTTTTAAAGGAATGACCATTTTGCCAGTGAGTCAGGGGGTCCCTCAGTGATAAAGAACTTTCAGTTCATGCAATGGTACTTTCCAAGTCCAGTTACATGGTAATCCCCATGCCTTGCTATATGCATGATCAGCATGGATCAATACCCTTGATTTGATGTTTTAGGGTTGTTGCCTCATTTTTAAAAGCTGTTTTGGCTGAAATTTAAAAGGAGAAAACAGAAGGTTTCAGTGTGAGGCATATAAGCAGATACAGTCTGTCAAGCTATGAACATCTGAAACCAAGACTATTAACAACTACTGGATTCAATGCCAGCTCCACTCACACTGAGCGCTAGTAAGGAACAGAGTGGAGTCAGATTTCAGTTTCTCTCTTCTGAAGCTGCCAGGGACAGTCAGTCCAAGAGTAGGCTAGTAGAGCCAGTGGATGAAATACAGTAATAGTCTCTTTAAAATCTATTATCTGGGACACAGAATATTCAGAAGTGTTTGTTACACCCTGTAAAGAAGTAAATCTGACACTACTCAGTAGTTGTACAAAGGAGCCAACAGTTACAAAGATGGAAAAAATTAACAATTAAGTTCATCAGTTTAGTATTTTCATTATTTTCCCTTTTATAGTTTAATAATATACTGATTTAACATTTCCTTTCTCTGCAATAGTGAGCGTCTAAATCAAGTGACAAAAGATAGAGAATCAATTATTTTTGAGTTTGAAAACATCTCCTGAGATCAGAATTTCTATATTTATAGGCTTGATATATATATTGGAAAGGCAGTAACTGGATGGAAATTTTC